ACTATTAACTGCAGCAGATGAACTTGGTATTGAGTCACTTTATGAATATATGATGAAATACTTTATTGAAAATTATGGAGACTATATAAAAGAAAGTCCAGTTAAAATTCTTCAATTGATTTTTGCTAATGAAAATTTTAATGAGTTGAAAAATATTTATTTGGAAAAATTTTGTGAGTATAGTGAAAAATTATTTGAATCAGATGAATTTGAATCATTGGAAAAACCAATTCTGTTGGAAATTCTCAAAAGAGAAGATTTTTCTGTTGATGAAATAGTTATTTGGGAAAGCATTCTTAAATGGGGTTTGGCAAAACATCCTGAAATTATTAATATCAATGTTGAAGATTGGTCATCACAAAATTTTGCTGATTTAGGCAATACATTAAAAGAATTTATTTCTCTAATAAGGTTTCAGGATATTTCTAAAGAGGATTTTTTTAATAAAATCGATCCATACAGTACACTTTTACCTAAGACTTTATGGAAACCCCTTTTACATTCTCATTTATTTCCTGATAGGCAACAAACATTAAATTTATTACCATCAAGAATTTCAAATTTGAAACCAACACTTGAATCATTGACAATTGATGAAAGCCTTACTTTGCTTTTTGCAAGTCGGATTGATAGAAAAACTCTACCATATGATTCATTCAGGGAAGTCAAATATGAATTCAAACTTCTATATCGTAGCAGCAGAGATGGTTTAAATGCTGCTACATTTCATCAAAAATGTGATAATATCAACAAAACTCTTGTAGTTGGCAGAATACAAAACTCAGAGCAAATAGTTGGTGGTTATAACCCACTTTATTGGAATGGACGTAGATATAAAAATACAAAAAATACAACTGAAAGTTTTATATTTAATATAAGTAATAGAAATAATATCAATACTGCTCAATTTAGTTATGTTATCAAGAATGATGAGTATGCAATTTATTGTGGTCATTCTTGTTTACCAATGTTTGGTGGTGGCTATGATCTTAGATTTAATATAGATGGTGATGTTGGTAGTATTACATCAAGTTATAGTAATGTCAATATAGTAAGTGGTAGCAAATTTGATGAATTGGAAGTTTTTCAGATAATTGATAAAAAATAAAAATAATAAATATAATGTTAGATTATTATTATATTTCTTTGTTTATTTTTCGTTATTTTTTATTGATTACTTAACATGAGACCAGATTTAACTAATTATTACTATATAGTTGAAGAGACAAAAAATGCAAATAACTAATAAAAACTTTTCATTGAAAATTCAACCAACAATGAACTTCTAGTCTTTGCTATAAAAAAATGAGGGGTGTAAATCCTTAAAAATCATAATAAACTTTAAAAGATAAAACGTTATTTTATTTTCTGTTTAAAGCAAATTGCTTGATAAAAAGCAACAATTGTGAAGCTTTAACGAAAGCCCAGGTTTTGATTGTTTAGTAAGCTAAAGTTAGGACTAACATTGAGTCGCTAGTGAATGTTAACAATGATTAATAAAAGTTGTTTGCGAGACTAACGTTGGTGTTAGCAACAATTAGTAAATGTTATTCGCTTTAGTGAAGAATTATTTAAAGGTCGATTGTAAGCACTGTTAGTGTATTGTAATAAATTGTTATAGCAAATATAAGGTTGTTAAGCGAGCTGCTTAAGTTATTTTGTAAATAAACTAAAGCGAGTTTGCAATCTGCCAAATAAATAAGAACAAGTGCAAACAACTGAAATAATTAGCCACAAGTGAATAATAAAAGGAAGTTTATAAAAGGCTTTAAGACATCTTCGTTTGTTTACAGTTATCCTATATCATTGAGCGTGTTACAGATTTGCCAAGTTTTCTAGGTGAAAGAAAGAAGCAGAAAGCAAGAACCAAAGTAAATTCGTAATCGAACTAGTTGACAAAACGCGAATTATTGTGAATTAACTGATAAGAGTAATCCAGAAGTTATGTTATCGTCAGCAATTAACAGAAAAGTTACCTTGCAAAATAAATGTATCCCTATCATTTGATTCATCTTCATCTCTAGTCCAAAATTCAAGCTTAAAATTACTTACTATTAATTAATAAATAATATATAATACTCACATGTTTAAAAGGAGTTATAATCCACAACCAGTTAATTTAAGCATTGAATGCTAAGGATACCAGCTGCTACTTTTGATGATTGTTTGCAATCACCTTTGCATCATATAAGAATGATTGCGACACCTGTTTGTAACCATCTTTGCGACCACTTTGTTTCATTTTTTGGATTGCTAGATGGAATATTATTGAATGACATGACGATGTGAATGTGAATAGGTTGAACGAGTGGAAGTGGAGAAATGGAAGAAAATATGAAGGTTAAAGGAAGGATTTAGAGGAAGAAAAAAAAAGTTAGAGCAAAAGAAAAATTTGGGAGTCAGCGCTGATTCAGGTGTATCAATTGGTGATGGTAGTGTAGAAACTAAGCTTGTAGGCGTAGGTTTTAAGGTTGGGAAAGAAATAGGTATAAGCACCCCTATTGGGGGAGTATCTATTGATCTTGAAAATTTTTTACAAATATTTTTGATTAGCTTTTAGTCTTTAGTTTGTTTCATTATCTTGTCTAGTTTATATTTATGTTATTTGAATGTTTCGAATAAAAAAATTTATGTAAAAATTTTCCCCACTCACATTCATTTTATTATTATTATTAAATAAAGATAAATGAATTATTTGTTAATAAATTGTTTAATATGAGAGATAGGACTCCCAAATAGTATTTATTCAACCTCTTCAATCTAGATTACATGAAAAGTCTTCTGCCTCTTTAACTTCATCTACCATTGGAAGATAATATTTTGTTATTCTAGATAATTCTGACTTCAAGTCTTTTTCCTTGGATTACAAAGTGCATTTGCCATCAAGGCACCTCTAAAATGAATGGAGTAACCATCAACCCTTCTTCAAAAATTATTTAGGGTCTGACACGTTTAGCATTTACCTGTAAAAATATTCCGTTATTTTAATTTCAATTCCAAGAATACTCTGGAAATATTCCACAAATTTGTTTCCTTTACGAAATGTATCATATTTATGGAGCTTAAAACATGGATCATTTTTCATAGGTCATGGACCCTTTATTTTCGTTGTTTTATCTGAACGTTCAAACCACATCATAAATATGGCTTTGAGACAATTTCAATTCCAAAAGGGATCACTGGAAATACATGGGCCAATTCCTAGTTTATTGTCTTTGCCAAATCTGGCAAACTCTATTGACTATTAATAAAGTTTGAATGCGCATCATCAATATTTTATTTAATTACAAAACCATGTTCAAAAGATCAGTAACATGTTATTCAATACTAAGTAAAATGTATATTTGACATTTCCCATAGAAAAAAATACTCTGTTATTTTGATTTCAATTCCAGAAATTTGTAACGGCAACAAATTACATGTTTCCTTTACAAATTTCTCATAAATATCATCATTCATTTTTATAGAAATATTGTTAGAATTAATAATTTATTAGAATATATAGTGAATAATAAGACATTTAAATAAGAATGTATATTTTAAACTCGATATTTCAGTATAAATAAAAAAAAGTAATAAAGTAATGGTGCTTTTATTTATTTTATACTATTAACAACTTATGTCATATGAAAAGTGAGATTCAGTTGTCACCATAAACTAAATTTCAAACACCTTTGTATATGATCATAATACCAATGAATACATACATGCGAAAAATAAGCTAATAAATTGTTATGTATACAAATAAGGTTTATTTGGCCCTTTATAATCAAATACTGCCTTGTGTTCCTATTTATTATAATTACATGTCACTAGTCAATTATATGCTATATAAGCTGCTTGGGATTTCTGGTAAATCTACCTCTATTATTCTTAGGGGACAGAAATGAGTCAAATTTTTTTGTCAAATTTACATGTTGACAAAAAAAAACATGACTTATTCTGCATCCATAATATAAGATCAACACCAAGGTATAGAAGTCATTTCAAATTTATGCCTGATGAAAGTAGAAAAAGGAATCCACATTGAAGGTTGGAAATTGAATAGTCTTCCAGAGCACAATTTTATGAAATGACATGATAGCATATTAGGATTAGAATGTGGTACTTGTTTAATTATTTTTTTTATTTTTAATTCATTAGTTTATACTATTCACTTGAATTTGTGACAATACATTGAAATTTTATCTCAAAAATGTATCACCCAGTTATGGAAGTTAGGTATCTGTTGGACCCACAATTTATTAGTCATAATCTTGAAGCAGATGGAATGTCATTCAAACAAAGCAGTGACTGTTTATACACAAATACTTTAATATAATCTCAAACAGGTATATTTCAAAATAAACTTGCATGGAAGACTGACAATAATTACATGGTGACGTAATTTTGGATCGTCATGTTGTATATTTACAATTTTTACAACAAAAGTGTCTGAGCATAATTGGTCATCATTTAGTTATATTCATGGTAAAGAAGAAATTATTTAACATTAGAAAAAGTCTTTAAGTTTGTCTATATATATAGTAATTACGGGCCGAAAAAAAAGGATAGAAATGTCAATGAAAATGAAAACTCTAAAGATAATATATTTGATGATTTGGATAATTGCTAGATTACAAATAATCACTCTCATGAAATAATAGTGATGAAAATATGGAATAAATAGATGAATGGTTAATTAAAAAATATTCAAGTATTTTATATAAATATATATGTATATATTAATTAGACCTTGGGATTTTCCTTGAATGTATCAAGGTTTTTTTTATAATTACTGTATATGTATATATTTTTAGTTCAAATATTCTTTAGTATCGGTATTTGTTATTTAGTATTTATTAATTAAATTAATATAAACAATATAGTTTGTATTGTTCATCAATTGAATGTCTAAGGCTTTAGCTATGTTTTTTATAAACATTTTTTACTAATAAATATTTCTAGTTAAAAAAATTTATATATGCTATTTACTTTCTTGTATTAACGATTATTATTATTATGTGCGCATTTGTTAAGTTACGTTATGTCACTATGCGGTATAAGCCGGATCACTATAAATGGCAATTTCAAATAGTTTGACAGCAGCGTATTTTATTTGATTTTATTTAGATTATAGATTTTAACTATGAGTGATGATGGATCACGAATTAATTTGTATATTTATTTATTGTACACTTGCATTAATTAAATTGTATATATATATCTGCTGCATATTGAATTTCTATCATTAATACGAATTAGCCCTTAAGCCTTCAATGATACAACGCTTAAAAGGAAGCATAAAGCATTTTTACCAATATCAGAAATAACTATTACAAATTAAAGTTTTTTTTTTAATTTATGTACAAAAATTGTATTTACACAAAAAAAACAGCTAATTGAATAGTTGTGAAATCGTGTGACGTTACTAATATGTTCTAGAGCATATGTTTGTTTGTAATATTTAATATCAGGGGAATACATGTTATATTACAAATTCTAATTCAAGTAAAAACAATTACAAATTTTTATACTTTTTTTACGTATGACTGATTACAAGAACATTAGAGAAAGGAGAGAAAGATGCGATTTTATGAAACATTATTTAAATTATTGTGCATATAAGTATTTCGATTAATCCATTTTTTAAATTAATATAATTTATTAACTCGAAATAAAAAAAAAAAAAAAAAAATTAAAATCATGAATTCATATACATCTTTTATAATACTACTATTGAACACGTTGTTTTGTGAATTAACCTTTTCACAATTAGCGGTAATTAATCCTTATAGTAATGTTAGTATGCCAATAAAAGAACATAATGCACTGCTTGTCAGTGATAGCATCTACTTTTTTGGTGGATGCTATATTACCTGTGACGAACCTACGAATCAACTCGTGAAGTTGAACGTGACTTCCTCATTTTCAACAAATCAGCCTCTCCCTCTGATAAAATTCACTCCAAATACCCCACCACCGGGGTTTCTTCACGCTGCTGTTCAGCTATCATCTGACAATAAAACTGCCTATCTCATTGGAGGGGTGAGAAAGGTAAAATATGGCACACCGGCTTATGGAGATCTAGCCTATTCAATCAATATACATACCCTGGACAAATGGGAACCATTAATTATAGTCGGTCAATCGGCTGTGAAAATAGTTGATGAAACAATTTCGGTGATAGATCCACAGGGGGATGTGTATGTTCATACTTCTGGCAATTTTTTTGTAATTTACAAAAATTTAACCTTGACCATGCTCACTCCAAAGCCGGCTTTAAACTTAAAAATCACAACTTGCCATCTATTGAACGAATTTAACATAATTTTTCTTGGTGGAAATTTGGCACAGGTAATGAGAATCAGATTAAAGTAAGATCATGTTATTTGATATTGAGATGTTGATTAAATATTTTATTATTTGCTTGATAAATCTAGTTAGATGTGTATGATACGCAATCTAACACCTGGAGTATAACGGTAAATTTTATAATTATTAAAAGCTAAAAAAACATCAGCACTAGAATGTTTATTTACTTTTTAACTCTATACTAGAAACCAACTGGAGTTGCACCTTCTGAACGACTTGGACACTCCTCGGTAATCACACATGACGGTCGGATAATTTTGTATGGGGGGACTACAAATCTAGATAAGCTTGCAGTATTGCAACTGGATCCACTTCAGTGGATCATACCAAATGTAACATACCCATTGGGTACAGGGGCATCGCATAGGGACTCCGTTATGGTGCTATATAAAGATTACGTGATGATCACCTTTGGCTGGATATACGATGTTGCGGCAATAACCTATTTCCAGAATATTTTGTTGCTAGATATCCGTAACAATAGTGATGGATGGAATTATAAATGGATGGATGCCTTTGTTACCCCAACAACTCCATTATACACAGCAACAACAACCGTTACGGCAACCGTAAAGGTTGATAAGGTATCTGGAGCTTATATACTACCTAAAACTGATAGGAGGTTGCTCGTTGGGCTTATTTTGTTCATTTTGTTTTTATATTATAATAATATAAAATAACAAAAACAAATAATAATAATAATTATAATTATTATAGCAAAAATTATTTTTGATTTTAATAAAGATTATCAATCGTCACTTCTATGTATATGGGTAGATGTTCATTCCCAGATGAAAAAACCTGCCTTCCTTCATGCCGAAATTTTTTGCTGTTGTTGGCTGAGGATGTTTAGCAATGATGATGTGTAATGTCAATTTTTTACGAAGCCATCCCTCTTGTTAATAATTATTGTCATTATCGTTTCATGTGCATCAGCAAGTTAAATCCTAGAAATATTGCAACGATTTTTATTTGAAAAATATTTGAATTTAATGAAAATTAATTACGATTGATTTGCCATTTTTTTATAAGCAAAATAGAATGTGTGTTTGTCACTTATATATTGACACTACCAATTTTAGTAAGTCAATGAAATTTATCATTTTTTAATCCAAGCTTCTTTTCCTTTAAAATTTTTATAATTAAAATAAAAAAACCTGTCAACACTCTTTTGTTGCTTTGACTCTTGGACTATTTTATTAATATTGTGAGGCGGCAAGTTGAATTTATTATTCTTTACTTCTTTAGTTATATTATTTATATGTTTGACAATAATTAATTATTGATAACAATTCATTATTGGACATATATCCAATGTCCAAAACTACCAACTATCATATTGGGCATACTGCAATAAACCAAGTATTTCAGGGCTTTATTGTATTCGACTCACCACTTAATGTAAAATAATGGCACCCAATTATATCTTTTCTACTTTTATTAATTTTTTATTTTAAGCTATTATAACAAACAAAAGCAATTTAAAAAATATTTAAAATAACTAATAAACTCGAAAAAATTAAATAGTAGTGAGTGATCTCACTATATATATATTTACAGACAATCCTTCAATATCCATAATATTAATAACTCTCAGTGTATTGAATATTCAATGTTTAACCACTAATTAGTCCGTTCAAACTTGAAGTTCTGTTTAACATCAACCCCCCTTCATTTTTTTTTTCAGAAATTTGAAACTAACGCTTTGATCGTCAAAAGGCTTTCAAAAAAAGAAACTATTACCAGGGTATAAAAATTTTGAAAGTATATTAATATATAATAATAATTTGTACTACGATAAGAATTAAACATCACGTGATTAATTGAGATTACAAATGGAAAATTTTTTCACCACCAAAAATAATCATAATCAATATATAATAAGAAACAAAAATAAGTCAAAATTATTTTGTCAACATTAACAATTAATCCTATTCACGATAGGTGGGTTAATGGACCAATAATCCTGCTTATCAAAACGTTGACGTAATTTACGATAATTCCATTCGATAACAATAATTTTATCGGCCAAAACAGTGTAATTCCAACGGACGTCAGTGGTATTATTGGCAAGAGTACTTTTATTGGTTCAATCTCAATATAAATAATAACAACAACATGAGAATTACTTGCAAGATTTTATCGATAATTATCCAAATGATCAAATAATAATTGGCCATTGGCAAGCTTCTAAATGTTGTTAATCAACTGCCCAAACTATTATAATAGCATCAAATAATATATTAAGCCATTTTATTATTAATATAAACATAATATTGTAGTGATTGTTATTTTAAAATTCGTTATCGTGCCAGTCAATGGATTTATTGAAAGGATTAAACATTTAAAACATGGGACCGACTATCCGACAATAGTTATAGCAAGTATTACAACAAGTTAAATTTAAATATAACTTTGACCAGTAAAAAGATAGAAATGATTTATTTATTCATAAATTTTTTTAACCGGAGAATCGATCAACTCACAATTCTATCAAAGGATTGATTTTATTATTATGATAGATTAACGTTTCACGTATCACTTAGAAAAATGATGTGACCATAATAACAAAATTCCTTTGAAGATTTACTCAAGTGCCGAAATTAGTTTTCATTGAAATTATTTGGACTGAAATAAATCAAATAACATAATCATTTTACGTTCATTGATATAAATAAATACCAAGGATCTGAAAATGTGCAAACGCAAAATAATATACCACTTCTGTGTGTAATTTGTCGCGAGAAATACTTAACACACACATTTTGCTCTAATAAAAATTAAAAAAAAAAAAAAAACCAAGTAAACATTGAATTTTTAAAATATATTATCAGATAGGAAGTTATTTTAAACCCCTTTGTTATTATCATCAACAATATTTTTACTCATTTCCATAACGATATATGTAAAATATAATAAATTTTTTTAAAATCAATAACAATCAATCATACAGATTATTAAATGTAAATATAGATTTTCTTAATAAAAAAAAACAGGTTTTTTATTGAGTTTCATAAGTATTCTGAAAAGTTATAAAAAAGGTAAAAATAAAACCAAAATAAATCAATATATAATAAAAATCCAAAATTATTCTGACAATATCAATAATAACATTGATTGTAATAATGATATTGACATTAATAATAATCGTAATTGATAGGTTAATGATTTATATATTCAATATCTTCCTCATAGAAATGGACAAACAAATTTTACTAATCGATACTCAAACTCTGGAGACAATAACCTTTGTCAAAACGTTGATTCTATTAATTCAATTCATGGAAACTTAGTTCACGATAATTCATTTAACAGGCTCTTTTAATCAGTGTTGGAAATTCAGGGTGCGCAGGGTGCGCGCGCAGCATGTTACACCAAAATTGTGAAACATTTTATGTGCAAA